TCAATTATAATAAAATCATCCTTGGATTTTGCGTTAAAGTGCATTTCTGAAAGTCAAGAGTAAAATTGGACTTTCTCTAGCTGTTTGTATTTATTGATGTACATTTTAGGAGTGATGAGCAAAACAAAATAAGTAAGCTTTTTTAAAAAACTTATTATAGCATACAGAACAAATGTGAAAAAAATAAAATTTTGAATGGTCTGCATAATGGAAAATTCTGAATAGTTTGTATAAAATCAGACTTGTAGCACTCAGATGAAGAAACAGAAAATGTGCCCCTAAAACACATCTACAAAAGCTACCGTTGGTGCTGAATAATAAAAGAAAGATACTTTCATGCAACAGACCTACTATTTTATTCACTCTTGAGAAACATTCTCTACCATTGAAGACTTTTTGACCTATCTTGTTCATGAACTTTATTTTCATGCCTGAAATGCCTGAATTTGTGATGTATTTATTATAGAGGGCAACCCATCTTTTAATAGATTCCCTAAATTTTTCTTCCCCTTAGATGACTGTGTCCTCAGGTGAATCACTATTAAAATAACACTTTGAATGTCTACACATTAATAATAATGAGTGTGTTATCAGTATATGTATCACCATTTGCAAACATTTATTGAATACCTACTGTGATGTGTTGAGGTTTACAGATTTGCTGAAATAAACAGTTCAAGTTAATGAGAGTAAGTGATTCATGTATGCATTAGGATTATTTATATTGATCTGTGGAACAATAAGAAAACATGCTTGTTCCATAGTTACTACATGCCAGTTACTATTTAAGTGCTTTACTCTATTAATCTATTTAATCTTCACAACAACCTGTGAGATAGGTACTAGTAGGCTGTTTCAGAGAGAAGGAAGGTGAGTGATGGAGATTTTAATTAGCTTGCCAGAGTCACACAAGTGGAACGTGGCAGAGCTGACACTTGATTCAGGCGATTGACTTCAGGGTCTGTGCCCAGACCCATTACACTATCCTGCACACTCCGGGGCCAAACCAAGAGCTGAGTTTCCAATGTACACAACTCAAATTCCTGCTACATTATAAAAGGCTCTATAACTTAGCTGTATTTTAAGTGCAAATACAAACAACTCAATCTCCTGAATTATGTGCCAAAACTCACAGAAACATCTATTTTTTTTTCTGCAAAAGTACTACAATATTCTAAAAAATTATCTGACTCCACTGTGCACGTTGATTTCTATAGGCACGTGTGTCCCTGTGACCCATCAAGAGAGGAGGTGGGCTTACATGTGCAAACTGATGTTTCCACAGCAGGGGATCAAACCCACATTCTACCCCTCATTAGATAGATGACTTGGAGCGTGTGCATGGACCTCACCTAGCCTCATGCTTCTCATATTTAAAATGGATGAAATCAGTATGCACCTCATAAAACAGTTAACCTACCAACACAGAAGTGTTTTGTTTAATGCCTACTGTGTTCTAAGTAGGCATTGGTCAGTGTTAGCTGTGGTTGTCAGAATCACTATTCCCATAATGCCCTCCACTGGAGCTGGCATGGTAAGGAAAGGGGAGTTGCTACAGGGCAGGGTAAAAGGTTTCTTTTCAATCAGTGTGGCCTCCTTCTATCGGAATAGATGATTCTTCTTTAACCCTCTGAGTACTTGAAGGGACACCTGTTGGTTTTTGTCTATTTCTAATAACTATCTGTGTCCTTAATTGCATCGCACTTTGTTTTAAGGAGTGATTTCATTTAGAAGGGATCTAGCGGAGAATGTGATCCTAATGAGAATTTTCAGTATGAAATCCTATCTTAATGACTACAATGTGGAGAAACCTGTTGTTAGAATCCATAAACAACTCAGCACTCTCATTCAGGGTGTGAAAGGAGAACAAAAGTTGCATTCATAATCAAGGATTTGAAAGTGTGCATCTGTAAAATGTTTCATAGTTACAAAGCAACCATGCAAATGTATTTTGATGGTTCGGTAATGACATAGATGCTACTGTTTCTATTTCTTCTACCAATGATCAGGTGGGAGGGGAAAATCATATAGAGATTATCCATTTTTTTAAAAATTTGAGTCTTCATTATTTTGAAGAAAATACTTTTCCTAGACAAATATTACTGAGATTCAGGATACTCCAGCACCTGCTGAGGCTTTGAGTACAGAGCATCAAAAATCTTTCAGGGTTTCTGAAGTTTTGTTTATAATGTAGAATATGTCATTAGAGTTTTGGTGAATGTTAGTTCCCTACTGGGATAGTATATGTCATTATTCCTGCACATGTTTAAGAAATATATACATGGTATTTCCATTAGGCTGGGTAGTTAAAGGAACCATTTTCTACCTATATTATAAAATGCGAAGGAACAGAATTATTTTCTATTTTTATTATTCAGTCAGTTACCAAGGAAAATTATTTTACTTTATAAATGTACCTTGAAATTCTGTGATTTCTAATATTCCTCCTGGCCAAGTTTAGTTGAAGATTGAGACATCCATGGATGCAGGAGCGGGATGGGTATCATAGCTGGCGGGATGGTGGGTTCCTGACAATGAAGACTAGACACTCTCAATGGCGTACATGGAACAGCTAAAGAGGATATTTGGAATTTGCCTGGTGTGGGAATACATACATATATTTGCATACATGTATATGCAAAATGGATGTAGCTCATTGACTGCTAATAGGCAACTTTTATTTTACATTCTCTTCTCTTTTTTTTTTCTGGACCGTGGGAGTGTCTCCTGACTTCAGCTACCTTTGTGTCCAATACATCCCCTATATGACACCAAGATACCAAAATTAAATTTCTTGCTTTCTTTTAAAATAATCTCTGCATCACCACATTGAATGATTCACAAAAGGCAAGGCCCAATTCTCTACCATGACAGGGAAGGGATCTTTCTCAGTCCCATCCTCTCTTTACTTTCTTAGTTTGACTGCTCACTGATCCCTTTCCCTGATACATTATTCTTCAGAAATACGGAGTTACATGATTTTGTCCTAGTCCATCCTGTTTTGATGACCCTGTACTTGTTCTATCTGTACTTGTTTTCTCTATCCCGTCCAATTGGTGGATATTATTCAAACCTTATTTGGGACTCAGCATCTCTCCAAAGCCTCCCTCTCCTTCAGGACTGCTAAGCTGTACTACAAACCATCCTCAAGATACAGCTGTTTCAATGCTTTATATGCATCAGCCCGATCGACTTTGGTCTGTATTCCCAATCTGTAAACTTTATTGATTTAACTCTGCCCCCCTTTAATACATAGATTTAGACTTATTTTTGTCTCTCTGGTGCCTGGTACCATGCTGGGCACATTGTATTCATGTTCTGTGATGGTGTGTAGATCTGAATATTAACTTCTCAACATGCTTTCCAAATTCTGATATGATGGTGGTAAGAAAGAGAATAATGAATGTTATTGTGACATTTACTAGAATGACAAAATTAATGATGATACTTTATCACTTAGGCAATATGTTTTTTTTGTTTTTTCTGATCCTTCAAGTTACCTAAGGGCTATATGTTTTCAGATTCACTTTATTTGAACAATTTCCAATTTAATATAATCAAATAGAAAGCACCATTCAGGAGAGAGGGCAAAGCCCCCATAAATCCCAGTCATGGGTTGATTTCAGAAAACACCAATACATGTGGTGTCACCCAGCTGCTGACTGATTGGACTATATCAGGCACTATCTCCACTCGTTGTGCTTAATGGACATTTATATAGAGTTTGGCTCCTGATGCTGTTTGAAGCAATCTTCTCTTTACACTACACTGGGTATACGGTTCATAATTTTTTGACCTGTGTGATTTATGTGTCTGTTTTCCACAGCTTTTGTTTTGATATCAGAAACCATTAATCCTTCAAAGTTCTGCAGTTGAAATGTTAACTGCCAACAGCATTGATTTGCAATTGGCATGAGAGTATGCTTCAACCATTTATAATAATTCTGATTTGCTGTTGAATGACAACTTTGTTTTTACCACCAAAATACTAAATAAAGAATCCCCCTAACTCTTTAGCAAAAACGTGTTTATTTAAACAAAACATTTTCACTCCAGGCCTCTGCATTCATGTCCTTTGTTTGATATCAGCCTTTTAGTTAAGGCTAGTGTTTAATGACTCTTGACTTCCCCATTGCTGAGGTAACAATTGATAATTATGGCTTCAGTGACATTTTGAAAATCTGTGTAGATAGATACTAACATGTTATCTATAACACATACAGATAACACATGTAGAGCATATACATACCTGTATATATGTATACTCATGTATATGCATACATGTGTGCATGTGTATATTACACAGAGAGCCAGCTCTATCTCTTGTTGACAATCAGCAATACATTTATTTTTAATTATCCCATATGTTTTATGAAGACAGTGTATTAAAAGCTAGTTTGGAGGCCATTAAAAACTATGTAATTTTACTTGTGTGTTCATATAATGACTACTGATGTCATTGAAGCATTGTTTAAGTTAGAGGTTTTTAATAACTCTAGGGTATACTTCACTTTTGCATAATTAATAAAAATAATATAATTCTTGAGCCTTGATAGAATCTATGATGGTGATTTTGACCCCATTAAATCATTAAAATTAAGAACAAGTATATTTGTTTGGAGCGGGTTGTTGAGAAGAAAACAATTAGGAACACATGGACCAGTCCAAATATATGTTAGCTTATCTTCTAAGACACCTGCACACCTCAGTAATGAAAGCGTTAGCAAAAGAATACCAAGTCTCTGGGAAAAAAATGATCTAATGTTTAGCTAATGTGCAGGTGATTTATTCTTCTTCATAGGAATTCAAGGAGACAAGGTCAAAAGCTTTTTTTTTTTGCTTTTTTTTTAATCTCAGGTTTTCTCTAATTCTGAACATATTCCAGGATTCTGCTTCACTTATAGAAATTGAGCATTTTCAACTGAATGCTAAGAAGCTCCCTTTCAGTGGATGGAAAAGAGTAGGCGTTAACTATCATTTGGGAACCTGGTGTTTTTCAGGGAATGATGTATCTGGAAGAAAGACGGCTTGTTCATCGTGATTTGGCAGCACGTAATGTCTTAGTGAAATCTCCAAACCATGTGAAAATCACAGATTTTGGACTAGCTAGACTCTTGGAAGGAGATGAAAAAGAGTATAATGCGGATGGAGGAAAGGTGAGTATGTTTTTGAGAGCAGTATTGCTTGTAAACCTAGTGAGGTATCCTTTTATCTCTTCATATTTTATAGGAAGAAGCCAAAAACCCTGAGGCTTTAAGAGATTATAAAATCACAATTCTATGCTTTGCATTCTCTCCTGCCTGTAAAAAATATACAGAGAGAATAATTACCAACTTCTCTTTCCCAAAGAAACTAAAAGAAAACAATGCATGTGATCCTTATGTCAGGTCCAGCGTGGGAGTGTTAGAAAGTGGGTGGATCCTTAGAGACTCTAGAAATTAAACTTTAACTCAGGGCTACACGAATTGTCCCATTGATCCTAAAAGTATAGGACTGATTTGTACTGAGGGCTACATTTCTCTCTCATAGACTAGAGAGAAGCTTGGTCACTACTAGAACCACAGGCGGATTAAACATTCTATTTAACTCCTAATTCTTTTGTAACAGATTCCTTTAATCCTCCTATAAGAGTCCTCCGATCTTTTTTCTTTTTAGCTTTCATAATAGCGTATAAGTTAACCTCATTTTTAGAAGTGCATATGTTGATATTTAGAATTACAAAACAATATTAACTAGTCATTTAATTACCACATAAATTGAGAACTGTAAAAGTGATACTTTTTTATTATATATTTCACTGTCTTTGATGATTTTACCAATTTATTTATTACTCTTTCCACTGGAATGTCACGCGCCATGTCCCAGGGTTCTGAATAGTCAGAGCTTCTAACTTTTCTGACTCTCCAGCTTCAGGCCCTGCCTGACAATGGGGTGTCTGCCCCTCTAGGCCACCGTACGTTCAAACCTTAGCTCGTGTTTTTTCCCATTAACCCACATCTAGCTTGCCATTCTTGGCTAACCAACCAATGCAGTCTTAATGTGGAGGTCTCCCCAGCCTGACCTGGGGACCCTTAGATCAGAAGAGGCCAAGTGAAATAAACACATGCAGCCTTCACCTCTGGTGACCCACAGCTAATGCTAACAAAAAATGTTATTCATATGTCATACAAATAATGTTTATTCTGTGCTTTATTCATCATGGGCCATCCAAATATTATAAATATTTTCTAATGATAGCCTTCCAAATGCTTATCATTGATTTTGTATTAAATTCTTATATAACTACATATATTCAAATATTATCACAAGACACATGAACACAAAATTTATTTTTAAAAGAACACCTTTAGTTTCGTGGTATTACCTGGCTTTTCCTTGATTTTATCAGCCCATTTTGCCCGTTTACTGCCCAATTGCAGCAGTTCGAGTCCACAGCTTTGAAATTCACTACGAGATTGCAGGGGAGGAGAAGTCCATAAATCACATGACTTCACTTGTCTAGAGAACATACAGCTATAGGATTTGTCTAAAGCAAGATTCATTATAGCTTTAAATGCCTAGTAACCATTAAGTCTTTATCAAGCCACCTGTGATTTAAATTTACCTCTTTAACACAATGTCCGTAGTCCATAAAGTCAGCTAACTCCTTGCCTGTAGGGAAATTATTTTCAATGTGTCTTCTGTTCCCTTTCACTGAATGCCATGATTCTGCTGTAGAGTTACCTTGGTATCACCTTGGTGAGCAGCCAACCTCATGATTTCAGAGGCCTATTTAGTTTTAAGCTTTCAACTGCAAAGTAGAAGTGTTTATCTTTATCCCATAGAACCCAATTATATTTCCAGTTATGCAATGCTGCTCTTCATAGTTGAAAACGCATTCTGCTGACCCACCTAGAGCAGTGTAAGTAAGTTGAGTTGTTTTCCTGTAGTGATGATGGATTTGGACTGACTCTCACACATTCTTTTATATAATTCCTATATTGAAAACGGTACATATTTTCAATACTGGCTAACCAAGATGAGGGAGAACATTTGGGGCTGAGGAACAAAGCAAGGCTAACTTTGAAACTCATTATTTTAGGTGTTTTAGTGACCAAATTATATGAGACAAGAAGCAAGGGGGTGAGTTTGAAAAGTCATTTTTCTGGTGACCTGACATTTGCCTGAGAGTGAAAAGGGATAACTGAGAATTTGAGGAATTTCACTTGGGAGGAATATACAATATGACCCCATTTTTTGAAGCATTTGTTTAGATATTTAGAACTATAAAACAGTATTAACTAGTAATTTAATTACTACATAAATTGAGAACTATAAAAAGTGATATTTTTTTATTATATTTTCACTATTTATGATGATTTTAAAAAATAAATATACCTCTTGACATGGCTGGTATAGCTCCACTGATTGAGTGCCGGCCTGCAAACCAAAGGGTTGCCAGTATGATTCCCAGTCAGGGCACATGCCTGGGTTGCAGGCCAGGTCCCCAGTAAGGGGGTGCAAGAAGCCATTATACATTGACATTTCTCTCTCTTCCTCCCTCCCTTCCCCTCTATCAAAAAATAAATAAACGAAATCTTTAAAAAATAAGTATATCTTTAGGTTAATTCATTTTAAGAATTTTATAAATTTCAATTTATTTGTTCCTCATATTAAAAACAATATATTTATATTTTCTATCCACACAATGAAAAATATAATTGAAGCAAGACTCACATTTCGGAAGAAAATACTTTTTAATATAATTATAAAACTTTTATGCTTTTTTTCTCTGTAGATGCCAATTAAATGGATGGCCCTGGAGTGCATACATTATAGGAAATTCACCCATCAGAGTGACGTTTGGAGCTATGGTAAGTACATCTTCCCTCTGAATGGATGCATATAAGGCAAAAATAAACATATTAGGTTCATGTAAATTATCTTAAGCCAAGTGATTTCATTGTATTTCAAATACCCATTTTTAAGCTTTGCTTTCTAAAGGAATTAACCTTTTCATCTTCCATTAAGAAAAAAAAACAGTACTCTAATAGTATTGTTACCTGCCTTTTTTGTCATTTCTTGGTTTTCTAGAGTATGACATATTAACTTCTTGGTGTTGAGTTTGACTACCATAACCTTTAGTTGGTAGCAAACTGTTTGATCATTTTGACAGGAAAGAGGAAACCTAGCCAATTTCAGTTTGGTACAATTTCATAGAATCTCAAGGATTTAACTTTGAACAACTCTTTGAAAACATAACTGGAAAAACAATAAATGTTTAAAAAAAGAGTTTTTTGTTATGGGTATTTCTGTTCTATAGTAAGAAAATGGAGGTTATTGTGATAACAAAGAACAATTACTGAAAGCAGTTAAGTGAAATAACAAAGGTCAGGGGAGAGATGAGAGAGAAGATTGCTAATTGCAGCTATGATTTTAATTTACCAAATACTTTTGACACAGAGCAAATAATATGAAATGGAAAAAAGTGGTTTTTAAATTTAGAAAATTTATTTAGTTGTGTTCAACTGAATTGTTGAGCCGAGCTCCTTAGCATGCCTCGGATTTTTTACAGTGTAAACTCATCCAGGTTAGTCCAGGTTAATTAGTAAGAATCAACACCTTTTCTGAGTGTAAACACAGCATAAAAGCTAGCATTTCTTAAAAGCACATTGCTTTTTAAATAAAAAGGCAGTAGGCGAACTTAAAGCATGGTAAGATTTATTCAATTTTAAGCTTAGTTTTAATCTTTCAGTTTTCAGAAAAAAGAATTAAACCATTCAATCACTAGAGAACTTACACCTCTTTTGTAGAAAAGCATAAATTACCTTTAAAAAATAGATATTGCTATAAGGTGGTTGTCTCCCCGCCACGTGTATGCCATAGGAGGTGTTAAAATTTCCCTGAGGCCCTCATATATTTTATTCAACTTAAAAGTAGAAATTGTATGTTTGAGGTTTAGACACATACAGGGGAATTTTACAAATTTATTTCTTAAACCACAAGGATTAAGTAAAAATTAATTTATCATCTTTAGTATAATAAATTAATATATGTGATATACCTTTATATATGATATAAATTTATATAGATGATATAGATAAATTTATATGTTATATATTATGGTAGATATATTATCATTATGTCATTTTTCCTACTTATGTTTGCTTGAATTAATGTGGTAATCTACTGCAGACAAATTTTGAATGACCTCTAAAAATAAGATTATGTATTTGCTTGAATGTGGTTATGGCTTATTTCAAAGGTATGCTAATTTAGATGAATAAAATCAAAGGACAAGGTTTGCTTAAGACAAAGATAAACTTTTACTACGAACTTGTACATTTGGGTTCCCAGTTAGCAATTTATGATCTGATCACCTTTGAGATCACTTTCCATAGAACCCCTTTTTTCATTTACATAAGTGTCATGAGCTTAAAAAAGACTTCAGTTTGAATAAATAACTTATCAAAGATGGCAATGGAAAAGAAAACATAGCCGTAATTCATAGATTTTACATTAGAAGTTACATGGATATATACATCAATGAAACTTTACTTGGTAGTACCATTGTGTCCATGAAGCTATACAGTTTTTTATTCTTAGGAAAACTGTGCCTTTTAAATTACATAATTATTATATTATAATAAGGAAGAGATCTGTATTTTGTGTATTATTGCTCAAAGTAAAATAATTATCATCAGCTCTGGCTGGTGTGGCTCAGTGGGTTGAGCACTGGACTGAGAAGCAATAGGTTGCCAGTTCAATTCCCAGTCAGGGCACATGCCTGGGTTGCAGGCCAGGTCTCCAGTAGGGGATACATGAGAGGTAACCACACACTGATGTTTCTCTCCCTTTCTGTCTCCCTTCCTTCCCCTCTCTCTAAAAATAAATAAATAAAATCTTAAAAATAAAATAAAATAATTATTAACAAACTTTCATGCTAATTTCTCAGGTGTTTGCTTTATTAAGAACACTAATGTTCTAGTGATTCAAGAAAGTGTTTCATTATCTAAGGGAAAAAACTATAATTGATTTACTTTAAATTTTGTGATCCCTACTTTACAAAATATATTGTATCTTACATAAAAATCACTCCTCGCTCTGGTTTTCATATGTGATAAAGAAATGAGCATGTTTTTCTTCCACTTCTGTTCTTTGCATTGGTTAAAAAGAGCTATATATATTTTTTTACCATAACACAAGATAATCATTCAGAAAGCACACCTTTACCTTTATGGCTCATAATAGCAAAAACATTAATCTTGAATTTAGTCAAAATAGGACTTTACCTGCAATCATTTACTTGATACTGAATACTCAGGTATATAGTAAATAAATTGTTGTATAACCTGTAATGTGAGGAAGTGAAACTTAATTCGTGTCAGCAAACATTAGCATTACTTATAAGGTATAAACGGGGAATAGACTTTTCATTTTGATATCCACTCTGAATCATCTCTGCTACCCATTAAAAATTCCAAAACGATAATAAGATAATTTAATTTCCCACAAAGATTTTGTCATTGGGCATCTCAAAATGGATGAAGAAATCAGAAGAGCCCTTATTTAAACTATTTTTGATTGGTCTTCAGGGACTATTCCTTTGCAACCCTTGTATACTGAGTGGTTCAAATGATGTTGTTAATACGCTTACATAAGAATCTGATTTCCAATGTAGGAGTCACTATATGGGAACTGATGACCTTTGGAGGGAAACCCTACGATGGAATTCCAACTCGAGAAATCCCTGACTTACTGGAGAAAGGAGAACGTTTGCCTCAGCCTCCGATCTGCACTATTGACGTTTACATGGTCATGGTCAAATGTAAGATTGCAAAATAATTTTATCATCACATCTTTCTTAGTAAAGTCGTAGCACAAATTAATCTAACTGTACAATGTTTCTATGTATTGAAAAATATAGAAGTTCAAAAATAATTATGTAAGTAGCGTGTTAACACCTTTGTTGTTATTGTTGAAATGAAGCAATAGCATGCCCTGGTGCTATGACATTAATTATATGATGCTTACTCTTATTCATTCCACTTGATTCTTATCATTTCCATCACAATCGAATTATCTTTCATAAAGAGATATAATTAGTCATAATAATATTATTCATTTTTATAGGAAAATAGCAAGCTAAATAAATGATCTATATATAAAGAAAGAAAGCTTGAAACTGATAGCTAAAAATGAATTAAATAGAAATAGGATTTTAGTCAACAGTAAATTAGCAGGGCACAGTGGGAAGGAGGAAGGCATGAATCTATATTAAACTAAAAATATTATAAATGTTTACTTTTTTCAATTTAATCAATTGTTTACATCTAACCCTCTTACTTTTTTTTCCTTTTTTTTTTTCCTTTTTTTTTTTAATGCTCCAGACACACGTTTTGGAAACCTAGGCTCTCCATTTAAATAGAATTAGAAAAGTCTCCGGAGTTTCTGACTTAATTTAAGCCATATTAACATTCAGTGCTCTTCCTTGTGTAATCTGCATTTTTCCCCTTTCGATTTACACAGGATTAGCAAAGAAACAAACTGGTGAAGGTGAACAAGCACTCTTATTAATAAGAGACTTTGGACCCAGGTCTACCCAGATTTATATTCACAACATGTGTAATACATTCTGACAGTGAGGGAGGAAATAAAAAATGTGCTTTCCAGTTCAGGTCAACATGCCCTTTTCCCTAAGCATAGTTCTATTTACTCAATATTTAGTTGGAAAGAAACTGATTCCTTACTGTGAAGTTCACCTTTTTTTGGTTCCAATAGTTCCAGAAACACCTATCTTCTTATTAGCACCTTAACATTGAAACATTTAAAAACATTTTTTCGGTGGATGCATGTATAATATAGAGCATTTCAACTTTGTTAAGAGAGAGAAAATTCAAGTGTAATTAACAATATATAAAATGACACCTGAAGACTTCCCAACACAAGACTACAAATTGAACTGGTAAAGATAAATAAGTTTTATAGCTTTATTGGATCAAGCATTGATCAGTAGTCATCTATAGAAGAATGTTTAAAGACTCTCATACATTGTATCATTTGAGCCTGTAACCAGAATGAGGGATGATTTAAATGTTTCATTTAAATACCCTGATGAAATAATGAAAGATGAGGAAAACATTTTCCCTAATAGGAAGTTTTTCCTTACTTTTAAAAGTTTTAATACCAAAGAAAAGAGTCACTTGGTAGGAAAATCAAGGAAGGCTTGGTGCTTTTATTCATAGCATCCCATCAGCTAAGGAGAGCCTTGGGAGAAAAAACCTACATCATCTAGAATCCTAGCTAAATAATAATATATACCCTTGAAAATTGCTGAGAATATTTTTATTCAGAAAAGGCTAGTACTGAAATAAGCTAATGATGATTGCTGAACAAACATTACCTACGACTTTGCATGTGTTATTATTTTCCCCCAGCAGGAAAAAGTACCACTAAAAAGTTGCTTCCAATTCTTTTTCCCCCTTGCCAGAGAACCACACTGTAAACAAAGCTTTATTCCATGTCACTCCTGATACAAAATAATAAATTATATTTTAATCACCTTCTCTATCACCATCAAATAAAAGTTTTAAAAAAGAATGATCTCCATACCTAAGAAAAATATTCTGAAATTTTTAAAGTTAATATAGTTAAGCCAGATTATATTTCCTTGGGAGAAAATTTAATTTGAAGTTAGATCAAGACATTTTTAAAATGCTGTTATTCTAGTATATTACACTTAGTAATGAATACCAACAAACTGATTGAGATAGAACCCTTGCCTCTTTGATCATTTCTGTCATTAATTTTCTTTGTCTTTTCTTCAGATCATTATTAGTAAAACAATATTTTTAGCCTATATTTTCACATGTAATTTTTTTTATAATTATCACTATGGTGACTTTCCTTCCGTGTGAATTTCTAGGTTGGATGATTGATGCGGACAGTAGACCTAAATTTAAGGAACTGGCTGCTGAATTCTCAAGGATGGCTAGAGACCCTCAAAGATATTTAGTTATTCAGGTTAGTACATTTGACCTAAAATTTTAAGAATTTCTCAATGTCAAACTCACCACAAGATATGAATAATATCTGGATTTTGAAACTGTGAAAATCACCACTCACAAGTGAATTAACTAAGCAGGATGTCATGTAAAATGACTTATGTAAAAGAGCCTTTTACTTGATGTCAGAACATTTCTAAGCAGCTGCCCTTGGTACTCAAGTGCCTCTGTTATTAATAGTTCTGACTATCCATGTAAATAAAAAGCCTTTGTCCTCAGACTAGCCTTTGTGTAGAAGTCATGTTCCTAATTATAATTTTGCATTTTCAAAACAAAAAGAAGATGGATTTTTATTTTAATCTTGTCTATGGTTGAAGACAATGAATTAAAGTTTTAATATATTGATATTTTATTTTACAAAAAATAGTTTTTAAATGTTTTGATTTGTTTTGGGAGATATGCAGTATCTAAGCATAACTCAGATTCAAATGAATTGAGATGTGCATAAGTGAAGTAACAGACCACAAGAAAACTTTATGTTTAAAAATAGAAAAAATGGATTGGATAATTAAAAAATCATAATATATATCTCTATAAGGATTTTTACCTAAACCATAAACAAATAGACCTTGGCTTCATACTTTAGTAGTATCAAGATAAATACTACTAAAACAAAGTAGTATTTATCTTCATATCTATAGTCTGATATAAAGATAAAAGGTACATATATATTTCATATATATATATAGTCTCTTTCACATGTATATGTAGTATTTATCTTCATATCTATAGTCGGTAATGAAGGTAAAAGCTAGCTAATATATATATGAAATAGATGAGGTGAGAAAGGGTTTGGGTGTCCGTCCCACTCCCACTTGTGCTGGGATTTGACATGCTATCACTTCAACAGTGTTCTTCTGCAGGACACACAAAAAGCCCCCAAAGATAAATATTGATCAATCAACTTCCCTTTATTGTTTATTCTTAAAGTCAACCCCCAAACAGTGCGTTGGCAATGAAGCCTACCATTATTCTCAGATCTGAAATGAATTTGCCTCCTTCAAAAGATAGCATTCTGCTTTATTTATCTCTAATGGCATTTATTATTTTCTTTTTGCATTAAGTTTATTTTGCCTTGTCATGTCTGAGCATATTATGGGCTTCTTTATGGTTAGAAATTATGCTAAAGAATTATGTTTTAAGTGAGTGCATGAATTTTCAAACATTTGTTTTGACATTACATAAACTGACTGCAAAGTCAACATATTGAAGATAAAGGAAATAATCATTTTTTTCCGTTTTTGATGGGCAATCTGTTAGGGTGATGATCGTATGAAGCTTCCCAGTCCAAACGACAGCAAGTTCTTTCAGAATCTCTTGGATGAAGAGGATTTAGAAGATATGATGGATGCTGAGGAGTATCTGGTCCCTCAAGCTTTCAACATCCCACCTCCCATCTATACTTCCAGAGCAAGAATTGACTCAAACAGGGTAAGAAGTACTTATATATCAAGTACCATATCATTACTCAGAAATGACATTGTATAAATATATTTAAGGGCTAAAATCACAAAACAACTATTCAGCTCAAATCAGTGTGAGTGCTGGCTTATAAACTTACCATTTACCATACCACCAAAAGATATGCCAAAACTTGCCAATTTATGGATTTTGGAAGAAAAGCAAAGGCAATATAATATTCACTCTGAGACACTTTTAGGATTTCAAAAGGAGAAACATTTTCTTTATCTTATGTAAATAAAACAAATCTTTTAATTTGTTTAATTTTCAGATTTAAAAAGTCAAAAACCAATTCAAATGAATATAAAATTGCACAATGATAAATACGTGAAATTTATTAGCAAGATAGGCTTCCTACTTTTCTTTCTTAAAAAGATGATATGACTTTCCAGTCAAAAAATAAAGCCAACACAACTCGCACGCACTTAAGAGACATTATTTTGTCAAGTTGAAGCAAAACACAGATAATTGGGCAACCCTTTGAATTAAATTAATTACATTAGGTGGATCCCTAAATCATTTGAAAGTATAGGATTAAGTTTTGGAAGAAGTTTCAGAAAAGAATTTACATGTCATTTATTGCATTAAACCCACTCGATATGAATGTCACTCTTTCCTTCTCTGAATACTGCCAATCCATGTGTTCATTTATTTCTTTATTTTTAAATTTCATTCATAATTCATTTAACATGTATTGAATATCTCTGCATGCGAGACATTATTAGCCATTAGACATTTAAAGAATTTGGACCTACCTCCTGCCTTCAAGAGTGCCCGGGTAAATGAAAGAGTCTCACAGATACCAGATACAGAGACAGAGACAGAGTATGGCTTGATTAAGTGTTGTGTCAAGAACTGGCCATTATGGAGCCTGGAGAAACAGTGAAGTGATGCCTGGATTCCTTTTTTTCATTAATAAGGCATAAGCATAATGCTTCTTCTTTTTTTCTAACGAGCTGTTCTTTTCTCTTAGCCTCCTCTTCCATCTAAGAACACTATAGTTTGTAGAATAAGCAGCACCCTATTTGTCTTGAATGTGGGAAAAATAAAATGGTCCACTTGCTGCGCATTCTGTAAAATAAAGGTGTTTGCTTTATCTCAGATTGACAGCAAAAATAAAGTAATGCCTCGAGTTTCCTATGTGTCAACACATACATATCATTTCATCCTTCATCCTTACAACAGTCCCATGAGAGTCTATTATTATTGTTCTCATCGTAAAATGAGGAAACTTGTCACAAAGTTAAGTGATTTGACTAGTGCCACAGAGTGAACCAGGGTTAAGAGCCGGAGTCTAATGCATGCGGTCTGTTTCCACTACACATACTATGGCTTCCGAGTTGTCAGAATGTGTTATTGTCATGATGTGGTTGCTTTTCTTGGCATCAATCTGTCAAGAAATCTACATGTTGTTTGGGAAATTTCTCAGGTGATTTTCTCATAAAATGCATCCCCAAACTGCCCCATACCTTTTGTGCATCCACCACCATTTATGTCTGGTATAGAAAGAGGCAAAATGGAGACTTCAATACATTTTTCTTTTCTATGAAAAATATGTATTGCATCCCAGTGTGTAGGAAATATAACAAAAAGATGTAAAAATTAAGTCAGCTGATGGATATTGACCACCAGTCTTGTTTATGGGAGCAGTGTTTAAGGTATATGAAAAATGCATTTTTTCTTTCCCTCTGTCCCTCTATACACTAATAAAATGACCAATTTTACCTTTGGTATTTATAATTTTATGTGACAAATTTATAATATTTTATTAAAGGAGGGAAATTTCAAGAAAATTGTTTTTCCTCCTTAACATGAAATGCTACAAAGTCTAAAAGCTTGACCTTTCTCTTCTCCTAAGAATTCTCAAATTCTAACTTTCTCTTCATTTAATTTATGCTGCATGCAAGGATTTTTAAGTAAAGATTTGAGTTACCTAAATGGCATTAGTGAGACAAAATAGAAGCCACATAGGAACCGTTTGGCCTTTATCCACCATTTCTTATTCTACCTTATTAGTTAAACAATGTTAACTGTAGAATAGAATTATTTTTACTTTTTCTGGTGTTAAAGGAACTGTGCTTAAATAACGCTTTTATTTTCAGGCATTAAAAAGCTTTGCTAGTCATCGGTGCCATCCTATTTTTCTTTCATTCTGGCTCTACATAACTTTAATGGTAATTTCTAACATGTGAAAATGTTTCCACCCCCTTTATTTCCATGAAGCTACATTATGTTAATGTTATAATTAGAAAATAAGTTACTTCAGCTTTAGGTTTTGTGGGCATCTTATGTGCTAAAGTAACATCTTAAAGTGAACTTTAGTTGAATGTTTCTTAAGAGTAATTGTTGGACTTTGATATCAAAAAATAATTCAATTTTTAAAAGTAGACCATTCACTAGCAGGGATGTGTTAGGTACTGTTCTGAATAACTTTATGACTTTGCTTCCTCATTTGTAAAATAAACACAACAGTATTTACCTAAGATGATTGTTAAGCAATTGATTTAAAAAATTGCAGAGTATCTGAAAGTGCCCAGCAAATAAACAGATTACTCTCTTTTTAGAATCACCCAAAGATATTTGGTTGAAGACCAATAAAGCAAGTAAGGGAAGCTACATTTATGTATTCAGGGCTTGCTAGAGCAAAGGCATCAGCCACCATCATTTGTATTTTGGCAGAGACTCAAAGGCAGACAGAGGAGTGCGAAAACATTACAGAAGGAAAGGGCAGGCTTTGGGTGTGCCCTGATTGGAGACTCTTGTCCTGAGAAACGTAGCTGGGCAGACTAGAACTGGGCATCCTTTGTGATTGGTTAAGGGCACAAAATTGGCTATCTCTGACTGGTTCTAAGTTGAAAGTGGAGACCAAAATTAGTGAGCTCTTAGTCATTAAACAAGTCCTGGCCATTTTTGGCCAACTGTTACAGAAGTTATTGCTTAGCTTCCTCAATTGCTACTACAGATAGTAAACTGGATTCTTGCAAGTCTTATGTAGCCAAGTAGCATCCTGGGCTGTGTACTGTACATAGGGCTTCCTGGGAAGTTTGCTGTAAGACGTGGGTTATTTTCATATAGACCTCTATTTTAGATTCTGTTGCTGCCTTTGTACTCTCTTGATATATTTATTTAAAGGCATTTTGCCCAAACACTAGCTGTCTAGCTCTTTCTACTTGAACAATCCATTTAGTATATATCTCTAGTTCCTAAAGTTACTTCTAAAAGTAACATTATACGTTGTACGAGAGACCCATCATAGCAGAGAAATAAGTGGAAGCTACACTAACCTCCTCCCAGGACCAATCTGGAATTACGACTAAATTGTAGAGATACCATCCTGAATAACCAACTGAACACTAGCTGGGAAAAAAAAAAAGCCTTATAGCAAAGACAGACTACCCACCCCACCCCTGGCAAAACAAACAAACAACAACAAACAACAAAAAAAACCCCACTTAACCACAGTGTGACTGAGAGGGAGTACTGGGAAGGAAGGAGGCCTGAGATGGCTGGCTGGGTTCCCATGGGTGGCAAGCAGCTGGGGATTCCCCCTGAGAAGTCAGGTACCTACACCTCTAATTGGGCTCACAGCCTACAGCAACAGAGCCAGGAAAGGAACCCAGATAACATCCAACTGTGAAAAGCAACAAAGTTTCTGTCCACCAGGGAATTATAGCTGGAGACACAGAGCCTTTTAAAGGGCCAATGCACAAAATTTCGTTTACAGCCACGTACCTTGGGCTTCAGCAGAGGAAGGACAGAGTGGACTAGAGACCCTTGAAGAGAGTCTGGGGTTGGTGGCTCTGGGGAGAGAACTGAGGGGACAACCACCAGGATCCCTGTGCTGAGTCATCTCCCATACTGCAGAAGCCATTACTCTCAGGCAGAACACTTCTCTCTGAATGGCATCAGCCTGAGGGGAAGCAATAGCCTTGTCCACAAGAATTACTCTGCCCCACCCTGTAGACCTTAACCCAGGCTGCTGAGTACAGCTTGAGGCTATCTCATCAATTAGTTTAACAATTGATGTGTATCTCTGAGACTTTAGCTGACAGTCCTCCCAACCACTCCCTGCCTGGTGCTGGTAAAAGCCTGCCTTGGTGCACAGCCTGGTTCTCTCAGCACACAGATAGGCCCAGACATGGAGCCAAATGCTATGGGTCACTGATAGCTTCAAACAGTGGCCCAAGACCAGTCACAGGCAACATCTGACAAAGGTCTACACCAGAGTCTTTACAGATCTACCTAATATATAGAAACAAATACAAAGAAGCAGCTAAAAATGGGAAGACAAGAAAAAAAGACCCAAAATGAAAGGACAAGAGAATTCTCTAGAAGAAGAGTTAGATGAAACAGATGCAAGTGATTTATTTATCAGATAGAAAGTTTAGGGTAATGATTATAAGGATACTTGACAGCATGAAAAAAGACATAGATACCATAAAAAAGGCCAGTAAGAAATAAAGAATGCAATATCTGAAATAAATAATACACTGGAAGAAATAAACAGTGGGTTAAATGAAACAGAGGATGGAATCAGTGATTTGGAAGATGAGGAGTCCATTAATACCAAACCAGTACTGCAACAAATGTTAAAAGGCTTGATTTAAGAAAGTTATTAAGAACCACACCTAAAAGAAAAGCAAACTAAGAGGACAGCTAGATCAGGAGCAGAACCATAGAAATGAAGATCACATGGAGGGTTAGCAACAGGGGAGTGGAAGAAGGAGAAGGGGGAATAATGTACAGAAAATAAGTAGCATAGATGGTAGGTAGAAAATAGATAGGGGGAGGGCAAGAATAGTATGGGAAATATAGAATCTAAAGAACTTTAGACATGTGGTCATAAACTAAAGGAGGGAATGGTGGGGGAGGGGTGTGTAGGGTGGAGGGGAATGAGGGGGGAAAATAGAACAACTGTAATGGCATAATTAATAAAATATATTAAAAAAAGAAAAAGAAAAAGAACAAAA